ATTTTCATTTTGGCCGGATATTTTCGATTTTGCTCGATTTTTCTGGACAGTCGCTCTTAATTATTCCTTTTTTACTAAATTCAAATTTACTACTTTCTATGACAACGTTTCTGCAAGTAGGTGTATATGGCATAGATTCGCTAAAGGAAACTAAAACACACAGGGATACCGCAGGTTGTTTATAATTGGATAATAGATCATAAGCTTAAATACTTCGACAAAGCGAAAAAGAAGAAGACCTACAAACGATTTGAACTAATAATTCCAATTATTTTAATTATATTAAGATTTTCTGCTCGGTGTATACTAAAGACAGCGTCAAGTTATATATCAATAGATACCACCCCATCAACCCTCTGAGGTATGTTCCTTTGTTATGATACTACTATAGCTTGACACATTGTTACTCTACTATCGTTACTATGAGCGTTTCGATATTGATTKAACTAAAACTGTCATTACCACCACAACTTTTATTCTACTTGCGCGCCTTGTCCTGCGTCTTGTTTTCATTAGACATTTTTACTTTAATCCGTCCTAAAAAAACGTTACTCTACGAATTAGGGACTGCGCAATATTTATCAGTAACGAAATAAATTACGTTCTCCCCCCCTCCCTCCCAACCCCCGTGAATATATTTATATATATGTTATTGAATAAAGAATTCATAGATCCGACAAATCAAGCGCGAGCGTGCGATTATCCAATCAGAAGAAAGCGCGGGAATCGAACCTCGCGCTTGTCCCACAAATGACCCACAAATGATTTCAATTTTTTTGTAAATGACATTCTTTGGACGATTTGTCGATAGAATTTCCGATAAATTTTCTATTTCTTTTCATGAGTTTTACTTTGAGCACTTCGTGCTTTTTCCGTACATTTTGATCCAATTCAAGCATTTTTCTAGGCTAGTTTTTGTCTTGGGAATCAAAATAAATCGTCCTCCATTTCATCTGGCTGSCTAGYGCTCATCTGCTTTACAAGTGCCCCAGCAACATCTCAAAACCATCTCAACTTCGCCCTCCGAACCGACTTGTTTACATTTTTTGTGGGACAACATGCCTGCCATTACGTATCCTCTATTTTCATTGGTCAATCCAGCGCGCGCGGATAACGAGTTTGATTTGTCGAAACTATGAATTGTCACAAATCGTGGCACACTTTTCTTGAGAAGTTTTCGAATCTGACACCGTTGATTTTTCAGTTTCCAATAGGCGATATGCATTATGGCGTCATTTACTACAACTACCATAATGCTTTGCCAACTTTCTTTTGTAATGCAATTAGTGCCAATTCTTTTATTAATCTCCAAGGGGATTAAAAATCTGAATAACAATGAAAATGCGCAAGGGTCTCTGGTAGTTGTAGTAAAGGTACGTCATAATGCAAACGGCCTATTAAAGTACTAGTTAATTTTAGACGTTGCCCCCCCTTAATTAAGCACATAAAATTAGATCCCCCCCCCTCTGGATTCTCAACCCCCCCTCCTGATAAATATTGCGCCTTCCCTTAATACGCGTCCGTGTGGGCAAGACCTTCATGTCATGACAAACTCTACATTTTAAACGTGACTTTTCCTTGTATATTGTAAATACATGATGATCGTTGATCGTTCCGGCTGATATGTATGTAATATCCACTAGTGAGCCACAACCGACCACCTTTCTGGCCTCGGCATTAAATTTCTGATGCTAACTTTGCACGGGATTTACAATGCTTCTCTTACATTTAAGACGTAAAGCGAATCGGGCTAAAAATTTCAATATCATAAATCAGGAAAAGTACGGAACCCATTTTACGCGATCTACAAACTAGCTGCGATCCATCGGGCGTTGCGCTGACGGGTTATATAATATTTATATTTCCAGGGTCCGTGGAGTGGCAATGAATTCTAAAGAATTTGCCAAGGCCTTCAATTGTCCCGTGGGATCTCCTATGAATCCTGCCAAAAAGTGTAAAATTTGGTAAACGTACGGGAAATTGCTGGTCAACAACATTTGTGACTTAATTGCTTTACTTGAGTCACGTTACCTTTTGAGATGCACTGCGCTTGGCCATTGAAAATCAATTGATTGGAGCCTACAGCTGGGCAAGTGCTGGTAGCAGTTCTCTTGGTATCCATCAATTTCTACCTCAATTGAAACTTGCTGTTTTACTCGGCCAATTGTAGTTATTTTTTCTCATTATAGATAGTATWTAGATTATGACATTGATTGAAACATAAGGGCGTCAGTTTCCACCGACGTCCCCTATAATATGTGATAGGTGTATGTTATCTGAGAAAGCCAGGTAGCTAAATTTGTGTGAATCGGCTTTATTCGTGATGGCCGCCATGATAACTTTCATTTTAGGGCAACAGCTTTTGCAATGGAACTTCATACGTCTTCATTTGAAGAATGACCGCTAACATAGTAAATGTATCAGGCAGCTAACATTAAAGAGTTAACTTGTAACTGAAACTTGCCATCAAACAGGAGAATGTGCTTGATATCTCTAAACATAATTTGGATTTATTTGCATCTGGTTGAAATACCAATCCTTTGTTATATTTAGTATTTTGGCCTCGCAAGACTTTGATATTAATTTCATCTTGATTTCCTCAAGTATGTTAAGGCTTGAGTTATTCGGTCTTGACGTACGATCAGCTTTTATTGTCTGTAAAACTAGTTTCGTTTTATTGTAAAACCTCCTCAGTTACAAGACTTTTCTTGTAACTGAGGAGGTTTTACAATAAAACGAAACTAGTTTTACAGACAATACAAGCTGATCGTGCGTCAAGACCGAATAACTCAAGCCTTAACATACTTGAGGAAATCAAGATGAAATTAATGAAATACCAATCATGCACCCGATATAATTATATATGTTAGCGGTACGATAATAAATTCTAATGGCTCTTATCCTCTAATTCTGTGTTAATTGCTAAGAAAACCCTGTGTGTCAACCCAGGATTAACGTCAATTGAGATTTGAACAAACAAGCCCTGATAACCAAGTCGATGCATAGCTCCGTTCGTAACCGTGGATCAATTAGAAGAAAGAGAATGCATGCATGTACATTCTGAGTAGCAATATTTTCGGCRAAAATGTGTATTGTATAGACAGGATTATATCATAGCTCAATTCTAGCACGCGCGCTGATAGGCGGAATTAATGAGAAAAGCTATGGCTTATTTCGCCGGTAAACCAGCCTGCTGTCTGAAAGATTTAAAGCAATAAACGATAGCTTGAAGCGGTTTACTGGCGAAATAAACCGTTTGGGATGGTTGGGAGAACAATCGAAAAGGTTAATCACTCGCCTAACGGCTCGTGATTTACAGATCTGTTCTCGCGTTCTCCCAACCATCCCGCGCTATTTGTTTCGCCAGTAAACCGCTTCAAGCTAGCCTTTATTGCTTAAATATCAAATGAGCGAAAATAAGAAGTGGACTGTACTGAGTTTAGGATTAACAAAAGCGCAGCACTTTTTAGCACCCTCGTCSTTCCCAACTGTTTCCCCAAAGGTCATATGAACAATTTGCATTTYTTTATTGAAACTAACATGGCGGCTATCGCRAATAAGGGTTATTGGTGGTGATGATGACCAAAAGTTCTCTATGGCTTTAGAGGGTATTTTTTGAGATGTTCTTCGTGTATATGGAAAGATGTAGCATAATGTTAGATTGGGGTCAGAGTAGTCATTATCATAACTTTTCTGTATCTTTTGATACTGAAAAGTTTCTTTTTCTCACTCTAAACTTACTTCATAAAGCTCGTCTTCAGATTTTTTTCGGTACTGCATTGTGTATGTACTTACAGTCGACTGAATGAAACCGCTGTTATAACCAACCTCAAGGTTTCTTAAGGCCGAATTAAAAGGTACGTTTGCCTACAACCTTCTCAATTCAACCCGCCCAAGTTATGCCTTCAACTGTCGTAGAAAGTTTAATAGACCCAAAACAGTAGTCGCCATGTAATGATGCATGCTGCACGCGTTTTAGACAAAAGGTCTGCCATCTAATCCGCGGGCTCATAAATGTATGTTTTGGATATTAGCAGCAATATAAAATATCTTATGAAATGATGAAGTAATGGTTCGAACTGCGGTGAATATCTCATGAAAGCTGCATAAATACCTACAAACTTTACCAGATTACATGAAAAAAACAACGAAATTATGATAATCGATATATAGCCGACTTGAGAATTTCGCCTCATTAGTCACATACAAAGGAATCAAGACGAGGCACCGTGCATAAAGGTCAGTCATTCGTGAAAAGACAATAGTTTTTCACGATTGATTTAGGTTTAGGCACGCCGTCTCGTCTTGATTCTTTTGTGTTTGACTATTGAGGCGAAATTCTCAAATCGGCTCTTGCCAATCTCGTCCCTAGAGACTACTACGTCCCCTTCAACGCGCCACGGCATAATCCCCGACTCGTTCAGTAGTAAAAGTTTAATATTATTGGATATCGAATGGACAATATTGCTCATCGTTTTTGTACTCGGCAGTAATCTATGTCACTTAGAAGCCATATTCACATTATATTCATATATGGCCTTTATATATGTATTCATTTATTTAGGTTTTTTTCTAATTTGAAACAATAAACAACCTTAGTCATTCATATACTTCAGTAGAGTAGAATGATTTATTCCTGAAAACACATAATAAACGCTGATAATAAACTGGTTTACAGTATTCTTAGCAAGTAGGATTACTGCTCTTGAATTTTACCCTTAATATCACACCTACGTAAAATTCTCGATTTTGATTGGCTGACGAACCGTGATTTTTTTCTTAATTCGTTCAATTAATAAATACCACGCGTGCTATTAATTCATTGCACAAATCTATCCCAGAAGTACTGTCTGATGAGTGCGTAGCACGAAACTCGGAGTTACAGCAAAATCTTAAATACTGTCTGATGAGTGCGTAGCACGAAACTCGGAGTTACAGCAAAATCTTGCCTCTTTGATTTAAGGAATAAAAGCTTTTCGAGTGCTCTCCCTACATCCCAAGTGTTTTGATCAGAGTATCAAACACGGAATTTCGTCTTTTATTCCTTAAATCAAACACGGAATTTCGTCTTTTATTTCTTTTCTAAAATTAAAGGAAAAAAAAAATTTTTGACGTGCGCGAGCGTGTTTTGATACTGTAATCAAACATGGTTTTCGACCAATCACAGCGCGCGTAGTATCCTAAATATTTTAGAAACTGTAATCAAACATGGTTTTCGACCAATCACAGCGCGCGTAGTATCCTAAATATTTTAGAAATCATATATATAACTAGCTCTACACTTTATGTGTATTGAGCACTCTTTATTATAAAATAACTTGGATACTACGCACGTTCTGATTGGCCGACTGCCGTGTTTGTATCAGAGTATGTAAACATGGTTTTGACGTCACCATTTTTTGTCAAGTGCGATTCAAAACTAGAAGTAGAATAGGAAAAAAAATCAGCTATTTATACAAAAATGTATCCGAAAACTTGGCAACAACTAGTTATGAGTATTCTGCATGAAGTTTTACTATTTCTTGTAGGTTTTGAGTGCATAGAATCTTCGGTATAAACTATAAATAAACAAAGCAACTTGAAACTGGAAGTGAAAAATAAAAAACGTAATWAGCTTAACTGCATCTTTATTATTGTAAATAACGTGTGAAAAGCAAGTTACATATTTCTATGAAGCTAAAAATTGAGGAATTTAGTGAGTATTTTGCATTTTATTGAGATACTACTATGATTCATCTAAGGTCACTAAATAGGCAATTTTGATGCAAAAAAGAAAGAAAGAAAGTCGCCCGCCGTCGTCCGCCATTTTTTTC